ATATTCTCGCGGAAAGTCCGCGACATGCGGCCACTGCGCCGCAACTAATCTATAGAAAAAGCACGATACTTCTCCGAGCATTCCTCTAAAAACTGGCCAATATTCTTTCAAATTCCTGCAAGCGGACCACATGAAATCAGCGAACTACTTTTCCGGTGCCCGCTTGCTCAAAATTCGCATGACCGCCTGCCCCCGGCGATTATCTGAGTTGTTCATTTCAAGCTACTCGGAGCTTCGAAAGCTTTCATGTTTTTGTTTGTCTTTTTGTCTCCATGCAGTTGTGTGTTTTATGACTTTACCAAATACCAGAACTCCAAAGAAAATTTCAAGGTTTCGTATTAGGTTGTCGGAAAATTATGTCGTTTTTTTCGGGTTTTTTCGTGTAAAATTGATATTACTCGAGAACTGAAGCATATCTTAGGCCGAAATTTTATGGTTAAAATTATGAAGCTTTGTAGTATACAAAGGCATATGTGGGAGGGGCCCAGTACTACTGGGGGCGGAGTCTGCCATTTCCCATTTTTCAATTCTTCCTTGGTTGCTAAGCATGGTAAAAGCAAGTATAGCAAGTGTACCTAAGAAAAGTGCATGTGTCCTTTACAAGCAGGAGCAAGTGAGAGGTTCGCAGGATTACTAGGGCAAAAATCAAATTTTTGGTACCACGAGTTGCTCGTATGTTTTGGCTCTGAACTTTGCGTAAACAACAAGTTCTGCCAATGTTCGGATCTCATCTTGTAGAGCTTCCTTTGCTCCATCTAATGGTACCCCTCACATAGTTTTTTGGATTTGTCTTATAGCTTTGCTATGAAAAACGACGTTTTTTTCTTGACAACCTAATACAATAGAACAGAAGAATCTAAAAGCTACCGTATAGTCCGAGATCGAGATTTCCCTGTTCGTTTATACCAAATTCACTCTTGTCCGAAACTCCAGAAAAATATTTTTTTAGAAATCAGCCGAGATTTGAGCATGTATACTATAGAAGCGACGCGTGGAAAGTTTTGACGTTATCAAAAAGCATTGGATTATGGTTGAAAATGTAAGGAAAAGCTGAATCAAATACATGTTTGAACGCATTCGAGTATTCATCATACAAAGTTCTATATCTGGGACAACCCACAACTTTCAGAACAACGTTTTGCACAGGAAGCCTTAGGCATGATTCGAAAAGTGCCTATCACCTGCATAGGATGTTTTTGGTGTTGTCCCATTTTTATTGTTTATAAATGATTGCATGTCTTTGGTTGGTGCACAAACGAAAACTTTTGAACAGGTTGAAGTCACTGTCTAAATGTTGTCAATTTTTGACATCAGTTACGCTAGTAACGCGGAACAAAAGCAGCGTATCACTAGTAATCTAGTTCGTTCATGGATAAGAAGAACAGCTTTGATGCGATTTAGGCAGCTTGAGCCTTCGACAATTACATATTCTGTTGCTTCAAAAGCTGTTCAATGCCGTAAAAATTTGCTCGGTTAGACACCGAGAAAACACCTATAGTTCATTTATAAAATCGTGACGACGGCTTTTACTGCGGACTTTGCGCCCACAGGAGTATGAAACGCTCATCCAAGAAGCATCAGCTCAACGTTTAGCTCACTCACTTCCAGTGTCTAGATATTATCATACGTAAGCAAAAAACCATTCGAAGAGAGACGAAAGCAAGAAAATGTGATTTCCGGAAATGGCGTGCGTGTCGCGCGCGGTCGCGCAATCGTCATCATTTTTCCACTGCCCTATAATGTCTATCCTCCGTTCCTGCTTACAGACAGTGTTCGAGCAAAATCGGCTTATCTTAGACTTTGATAAAGTCTGGTAGGTTTCCCTTCAATTGAAGCAACTCATCAATTCCGCCCGGACAATACGACTATTGAAGCTTCAAATACGGCGACTTTCCTAAGTGTTTCTGCTCCCCATGCACTTTCGTAGACGAGATGGTTTTGCACAGTTTGAATTTTATAACTGTAATCAGGGTCACGGAAAGGCTCCACAATGACGAAAACATGGGAGGTGAGATTTCGGGTGGACGCTGCCTTTGAGCTGGGTGGAAGCTGTCCTTGAGCATTTGGCTAATCCCAGAACTTAGGCTAGAAAGCATCATGATAAGGTTTTCGCCTCCTGAAAACAAACATGCAAAGTGCGAAGAAATGTCAAACTTGGGTGTGGTAGAAACCAAAGGTACGAAATTTCGGCGAGATTATTTTGGTGACCACGTGGATATATGGTTTGGAAACATTACTGCTGAAAGGAGGAAGAAATGTTGTGTCGAATAGTCCTTTGGATTTATGTTCCACCTTCCAGCTTCGTATATTATGACAGGTCGAAAAAAGGGAAAGGGCTTTGGAGACGACCAAATATTCAAAATTTCAAATGCGTAGACGCCAACTGAAAAATTGAAGAACATAAAAAAAACTTTTGATAGCGTGGCTAACGTCGAAACCCTTCATTCAACGGAATTTTTGTCCTTCCTCCGCGAACGAAATTATTCGGATCGCCATTTGGGGGGGGGGGGGTTAGTAAGGTTGTCTGTGACCTTTGATGTGTGACCACAGCCATTGCTAGCGCTGATACTCCTGTTATCGCTATATACCGCTGTTATCGTTGTTACTTTAATTTTTATAAGCCTGAAATGGAAAAGATGTGAAACTAAAGGTTACAAGGTAAAGGTTCTACTAAAGGTTACAAGTAGTTCGATGGGAAGTGGAATTTGACGATGAAAATAAATCAGTGAGACTCTTTCTCAATCAAAGTATGGTCTAATCTAGAATTAGATGATATTCTTATACAGAAGACTTACGAAAAATAGGCTCAAATCCGGTAACTGCTGCGCTTCATAGCTTTCAAATTCAATTTCAGTTTTGAAGGGTATTGCCACAGACGCGAGCGTAACATACGCAAGTTTTAGGCAATGCATACAGTGCTCGCTTTGTACTACTATTGCGACTTTGTAGTATAAAGCGAGCCATTGCATAGCAGGCTGGTAGAAATGTACTTACTAAAGTTTGATCCTCCCACACTTATCACTTCCACAAATCTCTGGAGTTCGGGGAAGCCTCGCTGTGGAGGGGAGGATACAGTGCTTCAAAGGAAAAGGAATCGTTTCTGTGTATGCAAATGTGGAGGCTTACTGGAGTGAAAAATGACTTCATATGACTCATGAGAGACGATGATACAATTGTCTCCGAATTTAGGTTTTTTCTCGGAAAACAGTACCCCTCTTTGCGATTGCTAAATTCACTCACAATATCTCGATATCGCAAAATTTTCGGTTTCAAATCCTGTAAAAGGTGTGATAACGGATGGATGCACAATAAAATAGAACTTTTGAGCATCTTCGAGTAGTTTTTTCAGTATTTTTCAAGTTGATTTTCCAAAAATTTGCACTTTTGCATAATCATCTGATAAACAAACGCATCGAACACTAGGAAATCTTCGAATCCAAAAGTTCCAAGACTGGACTTACATTCAACATAGTTTTACAAAACATATAAGTGTTCACTGCCTCAGAACATCAAAGTATGAAATTTTGAACACAGCAAGCGTCCAAAAATTCTGGGATGCTTTCATCCACTAATGTTTCACAGATCGGGAAGGAGAAAAGCCTATCAAAACGAGGGGAAAGAGCTGCATCGAACGGTAAGCTTTTGCTTGCCGGTTGATGTTTTGTGAAATTTGGCTTTACCAAGTATGCAATTTGTTAACAGCAGACAAATAACTTGATTCTTGGTCCTTATCTAAAATGCCAAGAAGTTTATAGTGTTGCACTTCGTTCGCTCTATCCACCTGTTATCACACCCTTTTTCTAAGAGTTGAGACCAAAATCTTCGAAGATTGCCGAACTTGTGGCAAAAGTATGGACACGAAACAGGGCTCGGCACGAGCTGACAATTTTAACTAAGTCCCGTTTGATCTTGAAAATTTCGTAAGAAGTCCCCTTTGACTTGTTTTGAAGACCCGTCATTATTTTTAACTTATGTAAAGGTATGTAATAGAATTTTTATGCATGTTGGATTTACGGGACATCTTTTCATAGCTTTCTCAGCTTTTTGAGTGGTTGAATCACATCTTGAGAAGCAGAAAAAAACGATTTTTCGAATGTGGGCAGGCCGAGTAATTTTCAGATGGCTATAAAACGCTGGAAAGTAAACATTATGAAATTTTTTCTTCTCTTATGTAAACTTTTACAGTGTAGATACGTTTTATGTAAAAAAGTATGAAAACTTATATGAGCAAAGTGTCGGTGCCAACTCAGCTGGCACCAGCTGGCACGGTGCCAGCTAATTCAGAAAACAGTTCAGCACAGCTTTCATTCACACAAGTTTTCATAAATTCTTGGGCCATACTTCGGGTCCCCCAACGCGCATGCATACATCAAATTTGGTGTCATACTATTGCGATTTGGCTGAAAACAATGCCTTTGTTTTGATGGACAGCATCCCGGTGGCATGCCGGCGGCATTCTTGCTGCTCTTCTCCGTCCCGAACCTCGGAAAAACGATTATCCCATTTTTCCGCCCCAAAAACGATATCCAGCTTGACCCGGTGCCAGCTGTGCCGAACCCTGACACGAAAGCTTGGCGGTTTTTTGGTGAGCATAAAGGTACGGCTTGGAAGCATTACTGCTTACAAGAGGAGGGAGAACTGCGTCGAATGGTCTTCGAGGTGTTTGCCCATCTTTATTCCAAGTGTTTTTACGAGCTCGAAGGAACGGAAAGAAGTTTCAGAACGACCTAATATTACAATTCCTTACAAGTGAAAATATTATGATTCACGTGCACTATTTTCAACACGGATGGGTAACATTCAAGATCGGTTGAATGACTTCCTCAACAATGAGGAACTGAGGCTGAAGATATAGATAAATACGTTATCATACTGTCGCAGCTATATAACCGCTATTCAACGAATGGTATGTTCATTTTTAGTAACTGCTTCTCGGGGTGAGCACTAGAGGCCCACACGAATTCGCACAATGCGTCACGTATGCCCTTTCTAGGGACAACACTTGCGCAAACGTTCTCCTGCACTTGTTGAAGTTATGAACAAGTTATACTTGAAGGTTAGTGTGTCAATTGCATGCGCTATTCCATAGGTGTGAGTTGACGACAAGAATGAATCAATTTTGTACATTTTAGGCGGCCGAAAGGATAGGTATAGTGGAAGAAACGAAACTCGAACCAACATTTGAAGAAGGCATCAAGAAAGTCGAAGCTTACAGATTGGCTGTTGACAGCGCCTTGGATGGCCTAGAAGCAATGATGCAGGTGGCGCAATCGTGTTCTTGGATGAATTCAGTGAAGTCATTGGTTGCTTACAGCCAAATCGTCTTGTAGTTGAGACAGGGGCTATTGTGGCTCCTCCCGGACAGGATCCCCACGAGGTTATGGCTGCTGCCTGTACAAAGCTGAGGCAGTACGTAAGCTCTGCCTCTCAGGTACAATATGGCTTCATTTAGTGTCAGCCATGATAGTAGTTTTGCAGACTCGTTTGGAAAAGATCATCACGGCGATGAATAAATTAGCTGAATCACAACGCTTCTCTCAAACGAAAGGTTTCGTGTTGCTATAAGCATCAAAATTGCCCTTTTCAAACTGATCCATTCCAGGGCGTGCTGCGGTTAGAAGAATCCGACGTTTTGTAACTGTAGATAATCAGCAAATGAAGGACGATATGGATAAGATGAAGGAAGGATTAGAATTAATGGATGTAGCAAGGCACGAGGTACTTTGTGAATAAGAGTTCAACAATTTACAGCATTCCTCGCAGGTAAAGAATTCCAAGACTAAAGATGAACTCGAGGAAAAAGGAATGATATACCACAAATCCGTGAAAGCATTCAATGACCAGGTAGGTTGAAGTTTTAGATAAGGACTACTAATGTTGAGCCTAAGTCAATCTTTTTAAGGCATCAAAAATCCAGCTTGTAATTGACGAGCTCCCAGTAACCATATTCACCAATCAGCGAGAAGTCGTTAAGGTAGTATCAACAAAATTTTGTTAATGTGACACTAGTAGTTCCAGTTTTTCATTCAACGAGAGAAGTACCATTCAACAGCTACTGGAATTTTGAAAGAATTAATAGAAAAGATAGACAAGAAGTGATACCAATTTGTACAGATAAATCCGATCAATTACAAGTTAAAACAATCTAGGAAATGTATGACTACAATTCATTCAATAAATATGCCACTTTAACTTTGTTTATGATGTATGCGATAGTTTGTACGACCTCGGAATGTGAGAAAGCTCGCACTGATTCAAAAGTTACAGATATATTGTGTCAGGCAGGGATCTCCTAGAGCACCCCCTTCCCCAGTAGTTGCGAGGATTTCGCAAACGCTGCGACAGGTGGTCGGCAATATTAGCGACAAAAACCGCCGGTTCCACACGTATTTGATAAATAATTGAAGCTTGGTGATGATGAACACGTAAGATTCGTTACAGGCATTGTCCACACAAATTCACGGGAAGATGATTCCGCATAATAGCAAAGCTCCTAGCTGGACAAACGCCCAAAAACCGCTGCAAAAGATGAAATCCGAAGCGAGAAAATCGCTCCAGAACATAAAAGAGGCCAAGGTGGCTCTGCCCATCCGTGTGAGCGGCCCTTCAGATAGGTAGAAATGTAGAAATTCCTCATAATCAGGACGAAGGCCGAATTTATGACAATTCTAGATATATGAGAAGTAGCGTCCGGGCAGATTCTGGACCTACATTCTTGCCTTATTCAGGCCTTCCAACGCGTTGATTCCAAGTAAGAAAATCAAGACGGTGAATGCCTCGAGAACCCCTCGTTGGTGCTATTTTTTGACAGCGTGGACGAGTGCCCCTGGCGCTTTCTTGTCACAAGAAGCGTTAACAGGTTCAGGGTAGAGGAATGAATACTTCGCTTGGACACCGCCTCTGCGGACTGCTGGTCTTTTCGCCCTAGTGTTGTACCGTATCAGAAACGACAGTCCGCGGAAGCGCTCAACTGAATTCCTTTCTTTAGCCGGTCAAACAGTGTGCTCACAACTTCGCCATGTGGAAAAGTGTGAAGGTGTTGGGAAATTTCGTTGCGAAGTCGGCCTGCGAGGCAGTGGGCAGGGTTCGAGGCTCGCGATCTGTGTGCTAATTTTCTCCTTTTAGAGTTGGTTTGTGAAGGTAGTGTTCGCGATAGTATTAGAAGGGCGTAATTGATTTTGATGGTTGACGAGAATGTCCAAATCTTCCCAGACATTGCCTTCAAGGGGTGTATGTCGATGGCGCGCCTTTCGGCGGTCGCTCGTACCTTCTGGAGCAAATTCCCTCTTCGAATTTCATCTTTTGCAGCGTCACTTGGGCAATGCTTACATAGTTAGGGGCTCATTACACAGATGAAACTCATCATCAAAAGCCCCTTCTGCCCAGATTCTCGACTTCCGTGTTTTTGTTGTTCCGGGGCCTTCTCATGTCCCTGACTTGCGAAAGTGAGGATCCGCGAAAACCTTTGCAATCCCCGTTTTGGAGAACCCGCGGGCTGGTTTTTCGAACGGTGATTGGATGGGCGAGCACGGATGGGCAGACAGACATTACTGGAGAGGGCAGTGCCGCCCAAGGCTCCTTGTACCTATTAGTTATTCCGGAGCATTTTCTCGCTTCCACAGCGACTGAGCCGCGACTTGGGCGTTGGCTCTATATGGGTTCCTACTATCATGTGCTGCCAACAGCTCAAGGCTTACTTAGGGTGTCTTCCACTAACTGAGTGGACGGTGCTCTCAAAGGTAGCGTCCGGGCAAACTGGAAAGAAAATTCGCTTCTGGACTTATCCTTCCTGTTGACCAAACATACAGCTTGCAGAACACGAAAATGTCGAAAACCAGCCACTCTAGCATTGGCGTACCCAAGATTTCCGTTACGGAGACGCGAAAAAAAATTTTTTTCCGATGAAGATACATGACGTCTGCCAAGCACTCCGAAAAGATTTTTTGGTATGCTTCCCGAGATTTTTGTGGGCCCATAACCCCAAATTTTAGCAAAGGGAGGCGTGGCGGCGACCACACCCCGGAAATTTTTTTTAAAGACTAAACTAAATTTTTAGAAAATTTCAAAAATTATTTCAATTATTTACAAGTATAAACAAGTCGCTTGCACATTTTTTCAATCATGTTCGAAAATGACTGTTTCAGCTGTGCATAGCCCTTGTGAAACCTGACTGCCAAAGTCGTGCCTTGAACACCAACGTAAGGAGCTAATGTCACGAAAGTGTCACGACGGTACGCGTTCACTATCTTTCAAAGGTTTTCCGTCAAGGTTCGGTCATTGGAATGAAGATCCGGGTTGTTTTTAACATTGTGGAGTATGTTCCAAAGAAATCTTCCTTCGGTCGAAAAAATATGTCTGAAAGGGGTGCGCGCTTATGGTCGTTACAAGACTGTATGTAGTGCTTCTGGATCCTTTCGGCTGCTCCGCGCGTTGGTGTTCAAAGCTATGCATGGGCGATTAGATTTTACAAGGCCTGTGGCTGGAAACCTCAAAATTGCTAAAACTTATCCAAAAGGATATTTCAACATCAAATTGCGAGGATGATACGCATTATGCTTGAAGGGAATCTCAAGGATGCGGCCTTTTCAGATGACTGTAGACGCCTCTTTGAACGCCAATCTCAGACCTGCTCTCCTTTTTTGCGGAACAACTCTCCGACAGAAGTTATGAGTGTTTCAAAGTCCAAATGTATTATGCTACTAGCTTGCTTACCCGGCTCCGCCCGGCCCCTTCAGATATGACAGAGGTTCCATCCCTATCCTTGTACAACCTTTCCCCCACTTCTACATGCCAATAGCCTGTTTCCGCAGTGTTAGTGATCAGTATGCGCAATTACCCCCCCCCCCCCTGTGCCAACTCCCAACCCCACTGCTCAGACTTTGCAAAGAAATCGAGAAAAGTGATAAAAGTAACGGGTAATTTGATGCTTAGGTTAGCTTGTTGGCTTGAAACTTTGCATTGTGCAATCTCTTCTATCGGAGTTCCCGGACCAAACTTGGCACACATACACTTCGGGCCCCGGCGGGTGTCATAGGCTACTTTTCGTATCGATCGATATCGATCTTATCGATTTTTTGCAAAATTTGAGCTACGGGGCTGGGAGTTGGCACAAGGGGGTAAGTGAGCATGGGGATTCCGAATACAATATTAGTTTTTAAAATCGTGCATTACTTTTATCGATTTTATCGATTTTTTGCAAAGTTTGAGCTACGGGGCTGGGAGTTGGCACAGGGGGTAAGTGAGCATGGGGATTCCGAATACAATATTAGTTTTTAAAATCGTGCATTACTTTTATCGATTTTATCGATTTTTTTGCAAAGTTTGAGCTACGGGGCTGGGATTTGGCACAGGGGGGTAATCGAGCATGCTGATCACCCCCGTGGGGGTGATCAGCATGCTCGATTACGCCCCCTGCCAAATTCCAGCCCCCTAGCTCAAATTTTGCAAAAAAAATCGATAAAATCGATAAAATGCACGGTTTCGAAAACTAATATTGTATTCGTAATCAGCATGCTCGATTACCCCCCGTGCCAAATCCCAGCCCCCTAGCTCAAATTTTGCAAAAAAAAATCGATAAAATCGATAAAAGTAATGCACGGTTTCGAAAACTAATATTGTATTCGTAATCAGCATGCTCGATTACCCCCCTGTGCCAAATCCCAGCCCCCTAGCTCAAATTTTGCAAAAAATCGATAAAATCGGCATCAATCGATAACGAAAAGTGGACTGTGACACCCGCCGGGGCCCGAAGTGTATGTGTGCCAAGTTTGGTTCGGATCGGTTGAGAAATGGAATTTTCTATTCGGAACATACGGCGGAGCCGGGTATGCCAGCTAGTGTTTGAATAAGAACATTTTTACCAAGAGCAGGGGGCATGAGACTCCATCGAACCTCTACACCTGTGATTAATTCATATTTGTCTGAACAAGCTCACTCCCTTTCTATCCCCAGAAAACATTTTGCGGGCTGGACCTGAGCTGATTCAATGGGGTGTTTGCCTGTTTTTTTTTTGTTGCTAGTTGTTTAAAGGCAGTGTCTCACCAAAATTTAGCTGCCGAGATTTTTGCATTTTGCAAGCCTGTCGGACCCTGTCTAGCACTGTATGGGCTTAAAATCCCACGAAGTTCCCAAAAACCCCGTTTTCTGGAGGCCCCGTGGAAGCAACGTGGAGGAGTTGTACCTTCCAACTTCAGCCTCAGCCACAGTGACAGCAACAGAGGGGAGGTGGATGCCAATGGAGAGACATGTTCAAACGCGTAAAGTGGGAGACCGAAGGAGTCGTCCGCGCGTAAGATCGCTCTCCGTACCACTTTGAGCGAATTTTTCTCAGCGTGGAGGGGGTCAAATTGAGTGGGACTTGTTGCACTGGCCTATTTAGAGGTCCCTATAATAGAATATGTGGAGATCCGCGCAACCTCAATTTTGGTAAGACACTGCCTTTAATGTGATGCTTCGTTTCTCTGTTAAATGGGCACGCCTTGTGCGTATTGAATAAATAGATAGATAAATATATTTTAAAAACTAATATTGTATTCGTAATCAGCATACTCGATTACCCCTTTGTACCAATTCAGCCCCGCAGGCCAAACTTTACAAAAAATCGATAAAAATCGATAAAATCGATATCGATAAAAATTCCTGCCGCCCATACGTACACACAGACATACAGAAAGACAGACATATGGCGCCCCATGACTCCATATTTTTGGCACGTGAAATGTGGAGTTGATAATCAAGACTTGCTTTACACAGCGCAACGAAAAACTGGAAAATGGCAGCCATCCGCGGACCAGCAACAGTGGCGCGGCATCCAATGTCCTGCCATCCGCGGACTGGGTGTTGCGCCACCGGGTGACTGCGCGCGCGATGACGCTCCAACTGTCTGAGTTATCGGACGACTTACCATATTTGCATGCTTTCGCGCAAGCCCACGCGGAAGTGTGTCGCTCCATGGATCCATGCGAAATACTATCCCAAGGTCCAGTTTGGAGGCGATTACCTCAGCCGTTAGAGCACCATCTGAACTGCGGTTGGGCAGTGCCTTAGTTAGGGTCTCAAAATTACTACCTACGTGAGATCCCCATATGTCGAGATTTCCATGGACGCTGCCCTTGAAGGCTTAGTTAAGGTCAGCTGGTTAATACTCCTTTTGACCATCTTCCCTCTTCGCTGGATCAAAGGGACGAGCCATACTTGATCCACCTGATTCGCTTCCGCTTCATTCGCTTCGCTTTTGGTTAACACGTTTCGGACCGGTGCTGCACATGGTGCAGCACGCGGCTTTGAAAGCTCTTTTTAACGTTTACAGGAAGTTTTATTTCTGTCCAAGATTAACAAGTCAAAGGCCTAAGCTCCTTCTTTTTAAATGATTCTATAGAGCTGTGCCGCAGATATTTGTTTAGAAGATACTAGCTGGCTTACCCGGCTCCGCCGTATGTTCCACAGGGGGGTAATCGAGCATGCTGATCACCCACGGGGGTGATCAGCATGCTCGATTACCCCCCTGTGCCAACTCCCAGCCCCGTAGCGCAAATTTTGCAGAAAATCGATAAAATCGATATCGATCGATGACGAAAAGTAGCCTATGACACCCGCCGGGGCCCGAAGTGTATGTGTGCTAAGTTTGGTCCCGATCGGTTCAGAAATGGAATTTTCTATTCGGAACATACGTACATACAGACATACAGACATACATGCAGACATACATACAAACAGACATTCAGCTTTATATATAAGAGTAGCGACCCTACGGGTCGCTAGCAAGCGGGTAGGGCACATCCATAAATAAACGTGTTTCATACCTATAATTTTCTCAAGTGAATTTTCAATTTATCAGTATATTAGGTTGTTGTATAGTAGACGTCATCCGTCTAGTCACCTCGGTGCCGTGTGTGCTATTGCACACAGTTTTGAAATCCCGGATGAGGTGCGAGGTTCGCGCTGTGCCGTACTTGCACCAACTGCGCATACGGCTGAAATTCGACGCCAAACTGCCCGATTTTCTTATTATGGTGTTTTTTTTTCGTTTTATGCACTTTTTCTGCACGCATGGTCTAGTTCTCAATGATTTGCTACCTTTATACTCGTGCATTGCCGTTTTAGATAGGATATCTTGAGATTTATCACTTCTGCTTCCAGGCGGAAGGCGCGTGGGCAATTTTGCAGGGTTGTGAAGTAAGTGTGTTTTTCGGTATAGTCGTATGTAGAAAGAATAGAGTATCTCGTAGACAATACGAGTTTCAACTTCCTCCTCACTGAAATCGTCTTGTACCAAGTTCCTCTTGGAAAGCTCCTTCTAACTCTATAGTGGGATTGCTTTAAGCAAAAACTCGTACTTCCCAAGAGACACTCTACTCTTTCTACATCCGACAATTCTGAAGAAAGCACACTTACCTTGAAATCCTGCAGGATTGCCCATTTGCCGCTCTCACCTGGAATCAAAAGTGAAAAATTGTGAAATTTGCGATTTAAAACGGCAAGGCACGATATAAAGATAACAAATCATCATAAAGCAGACGTGCGCGGAGCCAAAAACGAAAAAAAAGCACCGGAATAAGGAAAACGGGCAAAATTTGGCGTCGAATTTCAGCCGTACGCGTACTTGGTGCAAGTACGGCGTGGCGCGAATCCCGCACCTCATCCGGGATTTCAAAATTGTGTGCAATAGCACACACGGCACCGAGGTGACTAGACGGATGACGTCTACTATAAGAATAATGTCCATTTTGCGAATTTTCAATTTGGAAGGTTATAACTTCGTTCAGTTCTCATATTTTTGAATGCAGTTAAGATCTTTAGAAACAGCAATCCTTTCGCAATTTAACGCGCACCTGCCCGCACTGATATTGCAAACGGGAAGAAAACCATGATGAGATAAGATCAACTCCGGTCCGCCTTGAGAGAGATGCCCTGATGGGGGGGGGGGTTTAATACGGGCCTTTGTTTTGCCCTAGTCACTCCCGCACTCACGCTTACAATCTGGAGAGAAAAATCTGATTCACCCAGAGCAAAAGCACCCAAAAGCGAGATTTTCGGAGATTTTCTCAAAATTTGGCCGGAAAAGTGAATCATATCGTGCTAAAATTTTGTTTTGATCCAGCCATCGCTGTACAGCTTCTTTTCGCAAGGTCACTCTCGCACTCACGCTTGCAATCTGGAGAGAAAAATCGAATTCACTCAGAGCAAAAGCTCCCAAAAGCGAGATTTTCGAAGATTTTCTCAAAATTTGGCCGGAAAAGTGGATCATATCGTGCTAAAATTTTGTTTTGATCCAGTCATCGCTGTACAGCTTCCTTTCGCAACGTCACTCTCGCACTCACGCTTACAATCTGGAGAGAAAAATCGAATTCACTCAGAGCAAAAGCTCCCAAAAGCGAGATTTTCGAAGATTTTCTCAAAATTTGGCCGGAAAAGTGGATCATATCGTGCTAAAATTTTGTTTTGATCCAGTCATCGCTGTACAGCTTCCTTTCGCAACGTCACTCTCACGCTCACGCTTACAATCTGGAGAGAAAAATCGAATCTAACCAGAGCAAAAGCTCCCAAAAGCGAGATTTTTCGAAGATTTTTTCAAAATTTGGCCGGAAAAGTGGATCATATCGTGCTAAAATTTTGTTTTGATCCAGCCATCGCTGTACAGCTTCTTTTCGCAAGGTCACTCTCGCACTCACGCTTGCAATCTGGAGAGAAAAATCGAATTCACTCAGAGCAAAAGCTCCCAAAAGCGAGATTTTCGAAGATTTTCTCAAAATTTGGCCGGAAAAGTGGATCATATCGTGCTAAAATTTTGTTTTGCCCCAGTCATCGCTGTACAGCTTCCTTTCGCAACGTCACTCTCGCACTCACGCTTACAATCCGGAGAGAAAAATCGAATTCACCCAGAGCAAAAGCACCCAAAAGCGAGATTTTCGAAGATTTTCTCAAAATTTGGCGGGAAAGTGGAAGCAAAGTGAATACTGAAAGCGGATGTGAGATCTCTACACAATAAGGCCCCGTTCGGCAACTGGCGTCTATTCAAAACACCCGTTGAAGCATACATGTGGGCGGACCATCCTCGCCGTCTCGTTTTTTGGGATTATATTATAGGAGAGGATGAAGAAAAATCGAACAACGGTTGCAATAAGGTGCGGCAACGCGAACGACGCGTGCGACGTCGCAACTTTTCTTTGCTTCTATTTCAAAGGGAAAAACAGTAATTTTAGTAATGATGTGTACTGTGTACAACATAGATACTTTTGGGTGCTGTTGGAAACTGAGTCCTTGTTCCCATCTTTCACGAAAGCACAGAAGTCCTTTTCAAGCGACAAATTCAAACACTTCGAAATCTCTCACAACTTTGGGTATGGAGCTTATCTGACATCTGATTACAGATGTAGCACACAGTTCATGAAATAAGGTTTCTTCATTGGCTAACGGCTGGAAGTACATTCTTTTTCGCCGCGCGCGATTTCGCGGTCCGGAACGTGTTAAATATTGAACTGACCAACAACGAAGTGGTTGAGGCGGATCAAGTTCGGACATCAAGTTCGACCTCGCTATTAATAATCTCACTGATCTAACTAGCAGAAGTGGATGAAGTGGATCAAGCGATCAAGTGGATGAAGTATCGCATGTTTAGGCGTCATGTAAATCCGAAAATTGCAGTGTTGTGCATCTGCACCATTCATTTGACGTAGGCCAGATTCGCTATTGCTCAACGTTTCGCAACACTTTTGGGAACAAAATGAGGTGGGTTCTGCTTTATATTGCTTTTTTTATAATCAGTGTTTGAGTGATTTAAGTAACAATAGACTAGCGATGATAGTGTGAGTGGAAAACTGTAGGTTGTCAGAATGAAACGCTGTTGTGGTTGTAAGGGATGCTGTAATGTTTGGTGGTACCGACAAGTTTTTCCTAGAAGACCAGGGTTGTCTTTATCTTTTTCTATTTGCTTGGACAGCGCTTCATTGACTCTTAGATCGAAAATGGTTATATAGCACCCATTTGCGCCTTTTCTTTTGTACGTCAAGTGGATAAAATAACAGCTATCTTTGATATCGAAAGTTGGTTCACCCGAGTATCACTTTCGCAAAGATTGCTTATGCTTGGCGTGCTTGACGCTCCCATGATGGTTTTGCGGAAATTCAAATTCTTACACTTATTGACTGCAGTGTTTGCTTATGAACTTTGTATATGGTTTCAAAAACACACCTTTGTTCTCCTGCTGCTGTGTGCTCGCCAAAACGGTTTCTAGGGTCGCATGCATGAGCAGGAGGGAGGGGGGGGGGGGTGGGAGGAACGCATGTTGAGAATTTGGTGGAAACTTCCGTTCAAGGCTTGTTTCACTCAATATGCTTATGGAAGTCTCACTTGAAGATGGGGCTTCTAACTAACGCAAATTGTCGTTCACCGTACTCATTCGGACATTCTGGAAAGCATGTAGGCACCGTGCAAGTCCTCCATCTAGAATCGGTGTGGAATGTTTTATGGATTCCTCGGGACCAGATGAATCATTTGCGTTGCTTTGTGGCTATCCCCTCGCTTGTATGCTAGCCACCACTGCCACACCTTGGATTGATTCAAAAGGTTGAAGTGCGCGAAAAATTTTGGCTCGGTATAGTAAAGTTGCGTATGAGCTTCATCCATATTCAGTTGTATTTTATTTTTTGTATTCTACATTTGCTGTTGCAGCAATTTGCGTCTGCAAAAGCGCCTTGCCGCTTCTGTTATGAAATGCGGCAAAAATAAGATATGGCTTGATCCCAATGAAGTCAGTGAAATCTCGAATGCGAACTCGAGGCAGAACATCCGTCGCCTGATCAAGGACGGTCTCATTATACGTAAGCCGGAAGTTGTGCATTCGCGCTACCGCGCTCGTTTGTATGAAGAAGCTCGCCGAAAGGTCAGTTTGCTGTCTTTTCGTCATTATGTAGATATAGGTTTTCTTGTATTGGATCTTTATCCACAGCAGGCTTATCCTTTGCTTCCAGGGAAGACATTCCGGGCATGGTAAGAGGCGCGGTACAAAAGATGCTCGCATGCCTGAAAAAGTACTTTGGATGAGACGCATGCGTGTGCTTCGTAACTTGCTGAAGAGATACCGTGAATCAAAGAAGATCGACAGAAGCCTCTACCACGAGCTTTACCTGCGTGCTAAGGGTAACAACTTCAAGAATAAGAAGCATTTGATGGAGTACATTTTCCGAAAGAAGAGCGAAAACAGACGTGCCAAGCAGCTTGCGTAAGTATCTAGTGCTTCCCATTCACATGTCATCTGTTTTATAACTGTCATCCTTTTCAAGTGATCAAGCTCAAGCTCGACGTGACAAGAATAAGGAAGCTCGCAAGAGGAGGGAGGAACGCCAGCATGCCAAGCGAACCGAGCTACTTCGCAAGATTTCGGAAAGTGAAAAAATGGCTGAGCAGAAGTGATCTGTCCAGCTAATGGGCCGCACCGACCCACTTGTTGATTTTTTTTACTATTATTTGTTCGATAAAGTTAGTTAATGGGGATTAAGAACTCTGGGCTGATCACAGCAGCACGTTGCGGCATAGTCGCATCGTTCAAATGTGATTTCAAAATCGATACAATCGACTTTCGTCTCAAATATACAGGGGCTTTCAATCTGAGTGTCACGGTCGACGTGGCTCAGGTCCCTGCGAACCGCTTCGCATGGGTCTCTCACGTGGCGCAATGCCGCATCCCTGAGGCCTTCGCGTTATCGGGTGCGGTAGTGTACCACGTGAGAGACCCAAGCGACGCGGCTGTCGAGGGAGTGAACCACGTCGACCGTGACACTCAAATTGAAAACCCCTGTACATAGCCCACATCAGTTCCTTGCTGATCTCCTCATTTACGCTAAAAAAAAGTGAACTGGATGTGCGCTGACAGTCTTGAAGTGTGATATTTATGTGGGAACTCATTTGCGAACCACAAAGGATTATTGAGCTATCAATCGCGTACTCATAAAAGACAGAAGTAGTTTGCCTATGTGAGAATTGGCCCGAAATCGAAAATTCTGGACACTGAAAGAAGCGTGAGTGCCGACTTCGACGTTTATGTTGAAGCGAAATGACTCATGCATTACAAGATTAATACAAGGTAGCAATTACCAGTGCTGTTCAGTGATTTAGGTTTCTGAGAATGTTGTGTAGCTTGATGGAATTGGCTAAATAGGGGTTGGATGTTGTTTTCTCCGCTCCGTTCCCTTCACTGAGGCTGTACTACCTTTGATGGAATTGGCTAAGTAGAGGACCAGAATGCAATATTTGATGGCAGAAATGTGAACATTTCCCCCTCTCAGTTCCCTTTACTGAGGCTGTACTACCTTGCGCTAACTCTGTTATCCTGTCCGGTCCTTCATTTCGTTTAGGGTCTATATGCCTCCAATAGGCTCCATTCCATGTGGATATAGCTAGTATGAATGGCAATGTCTGCAATGTGGATCTACATAGTCTGTCGCTGATGTCCACGTGGGACCACCACGTTCGGCGACATTTAGCCCCCTACCCCTTCACCTCTAAGGCAAGGAGTGTTGAATGTTCATTTTGATCGCCCCTCCTCATTTCGAAATGAAAATGAGCTCTACTGCCCTTTTTGATAAAATGTGGGTGATTGCAGTGGATAGGAGTTCATTCTCGGTGCAGTGTCAAAAATCAATAAATCGATAAAATGGCGCGGCTCTACTGCAAAAACTCAAACTTCTGCCGCGGTCGAAGATATATCTATCTTATATATAAAGCTGAATGTCTGTTTGTCTGTCTGTCTGTCTGTCTGTCTGTATGTCTGTCTGTGTGTACGTATGTTCCGAATAGAAAATTCCATTTCTGAACCGATCTGGACCAAACTTGGCACACATACACTTCGGGCCCCGGCGGGTGTCATAGGCTACTTTTCGTCATCGATCGATATCGATTTTATCGATTTTTTGCAAAATCTGCGCTACGGGGCTGGGAGTTGGCACAGGGGGGTAATCGAGCATGCTGATCACCCCCGTGGGTGATCAGCATGCTCGATTGAACATACGGCGGAGCCGGGTAAGCCAGCTAGTCTAATATATAAAGAATCGTAAGCGCAATTCAAAAATGTGCACATAGCGGGAACCACGTGGCGGTCCCGTAGCGCGCGCATGCTATAGCACCTTTAATTGCTGGTTCACTAGTCTTATATAATATAAAGCTGAATGTCTGTCTGTCTGTCTGTCTGTGTGTACGTATGTTCCGAATAGAAAATTCCGTAGCGCGCGCATGCTATAGCACCTTTAATTGCTGGTTCACTAGTCTTATATAATATAAAGCTGAATGTCTGTCTGTATGTCTGTCTGTGTGTACGTATGTTCCGAATAGAAAATTCCATTTCTGAACCGATCTGGACCAAACTTGGCACACATACACTTCGGGCCCCGGCGGGTGTCATAGGCTACTTTTCGTCATCGATCGATATCGATTTTATCGATTTTTTGCAAAATTTGCGCTACGGGGCTGGGAGTTGGCACAGGGGGGTAATCGAGCATGCTGATCACCCCCGTGGGTGATCAGCATGCTCGATTGAACATACGGCGGAGCCGGGTAAGCCAGCTAGTCTAATATATAAAGAATCGTAAGCGCAATTCAAAAATGTGCACATAGCGGGAACCACGTGGCGGTCCCGTAGCGCGCGCATGCTATAGCACCTTTAATTGCTGGTTCACTAATCTTATATAATATAAAGCTGAATGTCTGTCTGTCTGTCTGTCTGTCTGTATGTCTGTCTGTACGTATGTGCGGAATAGAAATTTTTATTTTTGAACCGATTTGGACCAAACTTGGCACACGTATACTTCGGGGCAGGGAGCGTGTCATAGGCTACTTTTCGTATCAATCGACACCGATTTTATCGATTTTTTGCAAAATTTGAGCTACATGGCTGGGAGTTGGCACAAGGGGGTAATCGAGCATGCTGATTACAAATATATTATTGACAGGCCCGGGCGAAGCCGGGTTTGCCAACTAGTATGTAGATAAATTTATATGCGCAATTTCGGCGCTTAGTGGTCTCACACGCAAAGTTTCTAAAGAACATAAAAACATTCACCAACACTGAGTTTTTACATGTAAGGATTTATTTGTGAAGCAGTGGAATTTGACGAAAGCTAGTCTCTGAAAGAACGACAATGGACGACAATCTTTGCATTTATCGTGGTATAGCACGGGATTCTAGGACTTGTGCGCTTAGAAGTAAGCCCATCAAGCCCCTTTTTTTGCTTCCGGTCTTTTCCAGCATTATTAGGAACCGAATGCAAGTTATCTCAACAGATCTTGCCAAAAGTTCACAATCAGTGAGCGGTAGAGTGATGTGAGTGTTGCTTGGAGTTTCATATAAGCTAACACTGGTAATTCCGTTATGTACTGCCTTGGCTTTCTATATTCGTGCAAAACGCTTTGGAAAGCAGTTTATGGTGCAACTGATGTTATGAGTTGCAACTAAATCGTGTCAATTACAGTCGCTTCATTTCATATGATCATGTGTGTCATTGCACACACAGTTCACCTTTGGCGTCCCCATCCTGGATTCGTGGGAGAAACAAGCCTTCAGGTAATTGTTTCCAAAATGTTCTTGGCATTTTCTTTCCTTTTTAGTTACTAGTCACCTCAAATTGATGCAATCGATAACAATCGGTATGTTCTGGCCACACCAGAACCCCTGCCGATGGCGGCCCCCTTTCTTGCATCAGGGGCGGGGCGCGTAGCCCCGCACTCTTCGTTTTGCGCTCTCCCGAGCACCTTGTCAATATCCTGATAAACATAACCACTGAACCACTTTCTTATTGTACTAAAAAGGGCCTACCATACGCCCTGTACACATTAGGCTATACCATAAGCCTCAAGTCGCCACATTTTTGGTGCATCGGCCAAACTATCGCCGTATTTGAGGTTGATCTACTCGACCTTGGGACTCAGCTAGCCCTAAATTACAAGCCTTTGTTTGTCACACTTTCCCAACTCAAAAGCAGTTGGAAATTTTTGTGTTAGAGCCAAATAATCAAAAATGTCTCTATATTTTCACAAAAAAGCCATCCGTACCAGTTCGTCCAGACTGTCAGAGCTTCTCAAAACGTACGAAGCTAATGGACACGGAAAAAGGGTCGACTACCCAGAGGACGATCAGGAACGGCATGATAAATGCGCAGCAAACTTGATATCATTAGCTGAGTGCCTAGACGAGGTAAAGGAGTATACAGAAACGCTCGAGAGCAAAGTTGACAGTATGGAGCAAGTTTTCATGGGTATCAAATCCAAAACTGAGCAAAAAGAATGGATTGCGGAGATTGAAGAGTTTGAAAAAGAATCGGAATATTCTAAAATTCTTAACGAGTCCGCCAATTTCGTGCTCAGGGTTAAAACTCAGATCACAGACGCAAAAATAAAATTACAACAGGTACAATGTAAATTGAAAATCCCTGTCCACGTAGAACCTTCCGGTCAAAATGTTCAGGAAGACGTGGCAAGTGAGTCTTCCAGTCAAAACGTTCAGGAAGACGAACCAGGAGAGTCTAGTACCATTAGCAATGAGTCTGCTAACACGCAAACATTGCCAGTTAGAAAGACACGTACTATTAAAGCGCCATCAGTCGCATTATCGACATTTAGTGGTAGCCAGGAAGAATTTCCAGAGTATTGGGCCGTCTTTGAGACGCTCATACATGAAAATGACGAGTTATCTACAGTCGAAAAAATCGTACATCTCAGAGAAAGTTTGCAAGGAGCAGCTGAGAAAGCCATTCGAGGCATCAAGCCGGTTCCAGCCAATTACGACTGGATGGTCGATACTGTAACGAAACGCTTTGGTAATAAAACTACGAACAGGTCCAAAATTGTGCAGAAACTGTTCGAGCTCAGGTCCGCAAATAAAAAGGCGGAGAGCTGCCAGGAGTGTTTCGACTCCATAAAAACACTTGTCAATCAGATGGTGTCCGCGGGCTACGACATTCGTCCTATGTGTGACCCCATGTGGACGGAGACCATCCTCAAAAAATTTCCTTACGAAATTGTCAAGGACATACTGGTGAAAAATCAGGCGACCGATACAATGAAAGTCGAGGACCTGTTAGAAGCCTTGGACAGGGAAATTTCAGCCAAGGCCTATGTGGAGCTACGCCTCGGTACTACCAGTACTGACTCACACGGGTCACATCCTCAAGATCGTCGCCCGAACTTACCAGCTGACTGCATTTTCTGCGGCAAGTCGAACCACCAGGCCGCTATGTGCAGGTCTATCGTCGACCGGCAAAAACGCCGGGACATTCTCAAACAGCAGAGAAGGTGTTGGAAATGTTTCCAAAACTCACATTCCAGCAGCAGCTGCAAATCGGCGGACTGCTCCAGATGCGGACGCGCTCATCATGCGTCCGTCTGCCTTTCTTCGGGATATCCGGGTCCCTCCGCGTTGAGCCAGCCGCACGCATCCAAGTGGTCGAAAAATGAAACCACCCAAAATCGTTTTAACAACAGTTTTCCTGTTAGGAATACACAACCCACTAACAG